CTCCGTCCCCCCCCTTGGCCTCCTCTTTCAATCTACCCATCTCTTTAACTCCTCCCCGTCTCCCCCATCCCTGTTCTTTTCTGGTTTTCTTAACTTTTCAATTTTGAATTCCTTTGAGTTTAGAAGTTTAAGTTTACAATTGTATAGAGAATACAAGAAAAGAATTCCAGCACGTAAACCGAGCAACCATAGATATACATTCATACTCGCTACACACCTATACAGTATACAGTCTATTCCAACTATTCCAGGGGGGAGGGGCTTCACCATTCTCTCATACACACCTATACAGTATACAGTCTATTCCAACTATTCCAGAGAGGGGGGGGGCTTTACCATTCTCAAATACACACCTATACAATCTACTCAAGGGCGGTGTGTCAGATTCACAACAGTGTTCTTAGAAGTTTAGTAGCTCATAGAATTAATGAAACATATCTCTTTGAGTGGTTTAAGTCTTTCCAAGAATTAAAGAAATACTGCTTTTTATTCTGTAAATATATAATATTTGTATTCATGGGTTGAGTATGCTCAATTCATTAACTCCATGAAAAAACGGAAATGTTTATGATTATTTTATTTCAAGTATAGATATGTGTATTTATATAGTTATTAAGGTTTGCATAGTTCTGAGTTAGGAAGTTTTAAGTAGATTTCAACTTTTCCAATTAGTATAAATTCCTAATTTACCCCTGTATGTATATACACCTTACTCCATATACTTTCAACTAGAGAATAAATAATTATATTTGTTCTAAAGTAGAATTGGACCGGGAACAAAATTTAATGAATTGAGGAGGTTCGGATTTAAATCGCCGATTCGACGATAACGATTCATGAAGATTTGAATTGTTGATTCAGGGTTTTAACCGTCGGTGGAGGTTGTTCAGCGTCCTCTCAAATTCATTTAATTCGGTTCCAGGAACGGAATAAAATGAATTTGAGAGAGGTCACTGAACCGCCAGTTCAAATCTTGAATTTACTTCAACGACATCTCGCAAATTATTAAATTCTATTCCAGATTTGATTATAGTGATACATAGTTAAACCGCGCGTAGACAAGAGTGAATCACTTCTCTTCCGCTAAAACCGCCACAGTGAAGGGGTTTAACCTAATTTATTAATTTTGATGAATTTAAATTATGTTATGAAATAGTTGTAAATTTTGTAAATTGTACTGAATCAAGGTTTTGCAGAAAGAGGGAAAGCACTTTAAAAGATTAATATTCGTTCTTTTCGTCAATACAGGAAAAAACAACAATTACAAAATATAATTTTTTATGTAATTCAATTTGTTTTATTTATTAGTTTGCATAATATTCTGTGACCAAGTGTCACAATGTCACTATATGCACTATTATGCAGTTTTTGAACTTTAAAAGTTCGCTTATTAAAACAGGAAAATCTGTCAATTTTTTAAGAAGGGTTTTATAAACATTTTCAAAAGTTTTTGGTGGGATTATCATGTTTCCCAATGTATCTTAAAACATTGGTAATTGGTGAGCTGGACAGTTAGAGAAAACCTTTCTAAAATCCATTTTTTTCAAGAATTTTGTAGCACAATAAGTATTATTTTCACCGATTAACTTTTAAATCAAATCATTGATCACTGACTATTATTACTAATTAGTGTTGCGGCTGTTATGTTATTTAAGTCAATAAATTAATAAAGTATACAGAAGTGTTACTAGAAACTTTCAAATTTGTTATCGATAAACACATAAAAGTAATTTTTAAACTTTCTTTCGTTCAAGTTAATTTTATAGATCTGTCATGGGATGCTTTCAAGTCAAATTGGCTTCATATTTTAAATTCAATATACTCGCGCTACATTATACAGTACATTGTACAGTGAACTCTCTTAAATTCCTTGTATTGCATTACCCCCCCCTTCTTTCCTCCGTCCATGTTGTGTGACTTTGTTGAAACAACAATAATCGTATTCGTAATAATCCGGAATCTGCCAAATTCAAGTATACACAATACGGGGCGTGGATAATGTTGGTATCATTTCTGAAAATAAAATGACTGAAATAAATCGGGAAAAATACTTTCTTATCATAAATCACATTTATTTTTAAATTAAAGAAATTAAAAGTCTTTAAAAGTCTTTGCCAAAAAAATAAATTACAAAGCCATTAAAGATATATGGGATGAGAAAGTCAGAGTTTGTGACAAAGACTAAATTCCTTTGTCCTAATTTGTTAGGTTTGTCAAGTTTGCACAAAACTTAAAACTAAATATATCAATATTAAAGTCTTTTTAAGCGTCTTAAATAAAAATTAGAAACAAATATTAGATACCGATATTTTGGTACATCCTATTTAGTTTATTTAGTTGTTATGAAGTATCACATGTACACTGTACAAGGAGTGTGTACGCTATTGTACATCTAGTAGTCTACATTCTCAAAACATTAAATCTACAAATAAGTAGACATTTGACACACAGTGTCAGTCCGGGTATGTGCATTGTGCACAGATTTGCACAAATTCCAGGCAGAAATCCTTCTACGCGCAAAAAAGTTTTGTGTTTATTGATCATTTAAACACGCTTAACTTAGTTTAGGGGAATATATGGGGAATTTACCACATTTTTAAATATAAGTCGTCTCTGTACACCCCCTGCAGATTTGCAGATACAGTAAATTTTATGTGTCGAGTCGGAGTCAGGGGGGGTCCTCTATCTATGTAGGAAAGGTTCTAGTTATTATTAAAGATCAATCATATGAATATGTATTAATGATTTAATTAACCATAATAGAAAAATAATTTATGACCATGTAAAATTGATTTAAACAAACCAACAGACAGACATAATTAAGGCAATCTTCAAACAGCGTATTCTGATTGGTCCAATAATATATCAAATGTTTGTTTAGAATATTATGATATTTATGATATGACATTATGTATTATGATTTTTTCTTAAAAATTTCATTACAAAGTAGAACCTTATATATATATATAATTTTAGAGGACTAAAATGTTGTCATCATGAAGTATGTTGAGAGATATTTATATGTTGATATGTTGATATACAAGATATACAATACAGTGGTCGCTAAGAA